CTGAAGGCAAGCTGTTGTATCGGTTGATTGTTCTCACTGTCAGAAAAATTCTCCTTATTTCTAGGTTGAATCTCTCCGTGATCAGTTTCCATCCATTATTCCTTGTCTGGCTTTCAGGTGCTTTGGAAAATAGTTTGACCCCTTCTTCTCTGTGGCAACCCCTTAAATATTGGAACACTGCTGTCATGTCTCCCCTGGTTTTTATCTTCACTAGACTAGACTAGCTATGCCCAGTTCCTGTAACCGTTCTTCATATGCTTTAGTCTCCAGTCCCCTAATCATCCTGGTTGCTCTTCTCTGCACTTTTTCTAGAGTCTCTACATCTTTTTTATAGGGTGGTGACCAAAACTGGATGCAGTGTTCTAGGTGTGGTCTTATATAAAGCACATTGTGCAAATGTTGCTAGTGGGTAGAATACTTTAGTTCAGGCAAAAGTGTAACTGGTACACGAACTGAACCTGATAGTAGCCACTTTGGACTGTAAAGATCACTTGGGTTTCTAGAGCAGTCATGAACCCAAAAGCATATTCAAGCTCCATTTAAACTCAGTTTAATAGATACAAAGGATAAATTTCATAAATCATAACTTAATACTAGATTGGGCTTCTGAGCTCAATTTATTTCTTTCTAAGAAAGAAGTGTTTAAATCAGACTTCCCGAATCTGGTGCGCTCAAAACACATTCCAGAAATGCTCAGCCTGCATGATTCTGATGACTGGAGATGTCTGGGAGTAGAATGACACCATCACTGAGTTAACCAGATTGAGGAATTAGAATGACTTATGAGATGGAGGAACCATCATGACATACATGATCTTAGTAGATAATCACTTAAATATGAGCCATCAGTGCAGCTGCCAAAAAAAGCCAACACAGTCCTACGCTGCATTAACAGAAGGATAGAATCAAGATCACATGAAGTTTTAGTACCACTTGATAAAACCTTGGCAAGACCACACTTGGAATATTGGATCCAGTTTGGGTCGCCACGAAATAAAAGAAGGTATCAAGGCTCTAGAAAGACTGCAGAGAAGAGCAACAAAGAGGATTAAAGGACTGAAGGCTAAAACATATGAAGAACGGTTGCAGGAATTGCATATGTTTAGTTTAATAAAAAGAACTAGCGATAACATTTTTCCAATATCTAAGGGGCGGCCACATAGAAGAGAGAGTGAAACTCCAAAGCACTTGAAGACAGGACAAGAAGCAATGGTTAGAAAATAATCAAGGCAAGAACCAACCTAGAACTAGGAAGAAATTTTCTGACAGTTAGAAGAACAGTGGTACCAACTCCGCCAGAAGTTGTGGGTGCTCCAACATTGGACCCCTGACTTACAAAGTATAGAAGGATTCCTACCAATCCATTACACCAATCCCTTTTCTCTCTAGGTGGGATATACTTAAAAGGAAACAATGCAAATGTGAAAAAGCTTTTAATTCATAATCCTGTAGTATTTTCTAGGGGATGTATGAGAAGATGTCCAATTCTTTGCTAGCTAGTAAAACATCAAGCAAGTCAAAGTGGGTTTACAGTGCCAGAAGAAGTCTATAGGTCAAGTAGGGACTCCTAATTTGCAGATTCACTCATATGTAAGTCTCTCTGGCTGTCAGATTCTGCTGTTTGTGTGTAATTTGTATATCAGCTAATAGTGTCATTGACAGCAGAACTTTCCCCACAGAGAAGGCAAAATTCTCACTCCTGTAAAACTTGCTGTTGCTATGAGCCGAAGTAGAAGCTAATTTCTTACTATTCAGTGAGCTAAAGGAGCAAGTATTGAATAGGAGTTACGATGCATATTTTAATGACCATCAGCCAAAGCTACAATTTTAGATATTCTTGTTTGGCAATTATGGTCAAGAATCAACTAATGAGAAAAATTCTCATTAGAAAAATAAAATTGAAAAAGATAAAAGCCAGATTAAGGAATTGGAAAATCAATTTTTGCTTACTAAAGAAAAAATTTTTTGGGAGGAATTAAATTTGCTAAAAAATAAATTGATAGAAGAAGATATAGAATTGGTAAAAAAGAATATGAGATATTTAAATAGGAATTTTTTTGAATTTAGCAATAAAAACTCTAAGTTATTGGCAAGGATGGCGGAAAATAAAAGAGAGAAGAGAGAAATTGGAGCCTTGATAGATGATAAGGGTATAAGACGCTATAAAAAATTAGAAAAATGTGAAGTGGTCAGGAACTTTTTTCAAAATTTATATTCGAAAAAATTAATTGATCGGGGAAAACTGAGAAGCTATTTAGAAAAACATGTTGTGAAAATTGACCAAACATATAAAGATTTAATGGAAGAAGATATAACACAAGACGAGATTAATGGAGTAATACAAAAAATAAAATTAGGGAAAGCTCCAGGTGAAGATGGATTACCTGCTGAGTTTTATAAAGAATTTAAGGAAATAATAATACCAAAATTGCAAAAACTATTTAACGGAATTTTACATGGTGGAGAAGTTCCGTTGTCATGGAACAGAATGGTGATATCTATAATCCCTAAACCAGATAAAGACTTAGAAAGGATTGAGTCCTATCGGCCCATCTCTTTAATTAATCAAGATGCAAAGATATTTACTGCCATTATAAGTAATAGATTAAGTAGATTTATAGATAGATATATAAGTTATAACCGAGTAGGTTTTGTGAAGGGTAGATACATGAGTGATATTGTCAGAAGAGTATTAAATATTATAGATGTTGCTAAATATAATGCTGATAAAATAGGTATAATATCATTAGATATTTTTAAAGCTTTTGACTCTGTACAATGGGAAACTATTAAAACAATTGTTGAGGTACTAGATTTTGGTAATAAGTTTATACATGTTATTTCAAAACTGTATCAAAAAAGTAGTGCAAGAGTGAAGGTGAATGGAAGGCTGACAGAAGAGATAAGATTGGAAGCGGGTACAAGACAAGGATGTCCCCTGTCTCCAACATTATTTTTATTAGTTATGGAAATTTTGACTAAAATGATAGAAAAAGATGAAGAATTGGAAGGGTATAAGGGATATAAGATAAATCTGTATGCGGATGATACTTTGATTATTTTGAAAGATATAGAGAAAGATTTGAAAAAGATACATAAGCATTTGGAAGAATTTGAGGAAATGACAGGTTTGAAAATAAATTGGTCAAAATCTGAACTATTAATGAATAATAATGGTAAGGAGTGGGAGAATATGCAAGAACAACTTGGGATAAGGATTAAAAAAACATTGAAATATTTGGGCATAACACTTTCACTCAAAGTTAAAGAAATGAAAAAACTAAATTATGATGTGGTGATGAATGAAATTGAGAAAAAGATAGATAAATATAAAATGATAAAGTTGTCTTGGTTTGGTAGAATTGCAATGTGTAAGATGATGTTGTTGCCAAAGTTTAATTTTTTATTTGAGATGTTACCATTAAACTTGACAGAGAAAGATATTGAAGGATATCAGAAGAAACTGGATAAATTTTGCAATGGTGGGAAAAGACCTAGATTAGTGAAGAAAATGTGGTATCAAAATCAAAAGGAAGATGGATTAGGAATCCCCAAACTACTCAATTATTATTGGGCTTATGCTATTCGGACTGTGGTAAAAATATTTAAAGGTGAAGATAGTCATTGGAGAGATTTAGAATTAAAGGACATCAAGAGATTTGGCTCAACATGGTTTTTAGATAAAGCAAAATCAAAATGTGTAATTAATAGCTATTGGTTAAAGGGACTGAGTAAAATTTGAACAAATTTGTTAAAATTTTAATTCCAGATATAATTTTCTTAGGGAAGACAATTGAAAATTGGCCGATTAAAACTAATATAAGTCGTGATAGGGTAATGGAAGATGAAAATATACAAACTATAATAGATTGGTTAAAAACTTCAGAAAATGAAAGGAGGAAAAAAGAAATCATTGAAAAATTGGGTTTAGGCTGGTTTGAAAAAATACAGATAGAAAAATGGACTAAGAAGGTAAGGGACAATTGTTCGATAAGTAGAAGTAAAACTGAATTTGAATATTTAGTATTCCAAATTATGAAAGATGAAATTGGGCTAAAGGGACTCGTTAGTAAGATATATAAGATTATAAATTTTGATGGAAAACCACAAAGGGTGAGGAAGATGAATTGGGAAAAAGAACTTAATATTAAAATATCAGATTTAGATTGGAACGTGAATTGGAAGAGTAGAATTATGAAGACTTTATCTGTAAGGATTAAAGAGCATAATTATAAGGTTGTTTGGAAATGGTATTTGACTCCATTAAGATTGTCATTGATGGATAAAAAAATTAGTAAACAATGTTGGAGATGTGATATGGAATTAGGGACTTATGAACATATGTGGTACAAATGTGATAAAGTTAAAAAGTTTTGGCAACAATTGGAGGAAATGATATTTGAAATGATGGGGAAAGCAATAATATTGAGACCAGAAACTATATTACTGTTGATAATTAAGGAAATAGAACCAACAAAATATGAGAAAGAATTGATTAGAATTATGATTATAATGGGTAGAATTATAATAGCCAGATATTGGAAATTACCTGTAGTATTTTCTAGGGGATGTATGAGAAGATGTCCAATTCTTTGCTAGCTAGTAAAACGTCAAGCAAGTCAAAGTGGGTTTACAGTGCCAGAAGAAGTCTATAGGTCAAGTAGGGACTCCTAATTTGCAGATTCACTCATATGTAAGTCTCTCTGGCTGTCAGATTCTGCTGTTTGTGTGTAATTTGTATATCAGCTAATAGTGTCATTGACAGCAGAACTTTCCCCACAGAGAAGGCAAAATTCTCACTCCTGTAAAACTTGCTGTTGCTATGAGCCGAAGTAGAAGCTAATTTCTTACTATTCAGTGAGCTAAAGGAGCAAGTATCGAATAGGAGTTACGATGCATATTTTAATGACCATCAGCCAAAGCTACAATTTTAGATATTCTTGTTTGGCAATTATGGTCAAGAATCAACTGAGAAAAATTCTGGTGTTCTTTTTTTCTAGGCTATGGTATTGGCCTTCCTCCAAACTCTCCACTGACCTCAAATATTTCTGAACTCATCAGCCAGTATAAATCCCACGGCTTCATGGATGTCTTGCATGACAAGTGGTACAAAGTGGTACCGTGTGGGAAAAGAAGCTTTGCTGTGACTGAGGTAAGGAATGTTCCTTAGGTCCTTCCAGCACTCGGGATGGATAAATCCATCCCTTTGAGTCTCTCATTTCTTTTAACTGTGTATTTATTTCAATCTCCTTCCATCCATGTTTTCTGGTTGGTCGTTGTTGTTAAAGTCTCCATAAAAGTTTATGTACATTTTCACATACCTTTATCCTAATGCATATTCCTGTTCTTGGTTATGTACACTTGCCCAAACCCTTTCCTCTGGTAGAATTCATTTCTATGTTGACATCCCTTAGTCTTAACAGATAAATTGTTTCTCTCTCTCTCTCTCTCTCTCTCTCTCTCTCTCTGTCTCTGTCTCTGTCTCTGTCTCTCTCTCTCTCTCTCTCTCTCTCTCTCTCTCTCTCTCTGTGTGTGTGTGTGTGTGTGTGTGTGCTTTGTTTAACTAGAAGTCTGGATGGTAAAATTTGACTATCTGAACATCTAAAGGCCAATTGCATTTCAAGTTGCATGTTTGAGCACATGTAAATTAAGATACAGTAGGTTGTAAACAAACCTCTCTTCCTCACATGTCAATCTTCATTTCATCCATTCCAGAGAGAGGGGGGGGGAGAGAGAGAGGGTGGGTGTGTCATCCTGGAAGCCATCTTTTACTTTGGATCTTTAGGGCTGCCACATTTAGTGCTGTGGGAAACTGGGAGGGGGGATTTTATGGAGTTGGGGAGATATCTAGCCATAATAACATTCTTTTCTCTGAGAGTCAAGGGCATCCTGCCCTGCAGCTGGAGTGGTGTGACTGGGAGGCATCTCCAGTTGGGACAGTGCATTGATTGGACCATGTGATGGACATGTGGGTGCTGGGGCAGGAACTTGGACTTTCTTTTGGGTGGGGAAAACTTGGAAGGTTTCAGATTTGGGTTTTCCCAGATGTGCCAATACGACATCTCTAATAAAATGGAACTTTGAAGAACTTCTTGGAGCCTTCTTTCGTTGGGGGTGTTACTTGGAACCCTGTCAGTGTGTGTGTGTGTGTGTGTGTGTGTGTGTGTGTGTGTGTGTGTGTTAGAATACACATTCATGAGCAGAGCCATTGCATCAAGAGCTTATACCATGTATAGTTTTGACAGCATGAACATTCTTGACATGAATTTTTTTAAAACAATCAAACAGCCGTCTTGAAGGACCATGAGTAGCTAGAGCAGAGGAAATGATCTTTCATTATCAAAGTTTGGAAAGCTTTTTTCCCCAACACGAATACAACATCCAGGTGATAGTTTCTAATGAAAGACAAGAGGGTAAAACTGTTCCTTGCCCTGCCCTTAATGCTGTGACTCCTGTTTATGTGTCTGTTAATTGATTCCTGCAATTGACAGCCCATCCATTTCAGTTATAAGTGCTCGCTACCCTGGTTACTATGGGAAGCCGCATGCTAAAATGAATGAACCTGAGCTCATTATGCTTTAGCTTGGCAAAATGTAGGGCATATCTCCTTAACTGGCATTATTAACAGACACAAAAAACTAGCAAAGTGGAAAAGAAGTGATTGAGGAACTGATTCTCTCTCCTAATAATGATTTACCTGGTAATCTCACCATTATAGTATTATGATTATTTAGAAACTGCTACTTCTGGATGCTGATGTCCACAGAGGGTCATTTGTACATCCAGCTCTTGGTCAAGAAATATGCGCACTGTGGACCCATCCATAGGAACATAAGTGGGCCAAAATTGTTTTGGAAAAAACCAGAATTTAAGCAGAACAAGACAGCATGACTTTCATATTGATTTTAATGTGCCTATTGAAAGACAGTAGCATTTTAGGTTCTCCAGCAAAAATGTGGTCCAAAATGTACTGTTCTTTGAGAAACGACAGGAGTTTTTAATGTAGCATTCCTGTCCTCGGCCAACTGTGATCTGTGATCTCCTTGGTACTGTTGGGATTTACTCCTTACCAAGTTCATTCTGAGCTGGGATACAAGAGATAGTCGAGCAGTTTAATGAAATTTAAGTTCTTTAATCTTCACTCAAGTGCAATGACAACAAGCTATGGGGGAGGATGGCCAAAGAAACTCCCTCCTTCCAGCACGTTTTATAATTATTTATCTAAAGGAGACCTTAACTTACTTCCATGGGTGAGCTGCTCGCATGGCCTGGGAAAGCTAAAAAGCGAGAAGGCCAACAAAATCTTAAAGAAACACATTATGAAACACAGTTTCAAAGCGAGATGTGGTTTCAGCGTCTTAATAAAAGTATAAATGCTCAAATACTAGATTCTATAAAATATCTAAGCAGTACTTTATATTTGGAAACAGTGTTGTCCTGGATAACATTCTGTTAAAAGGATTGGTAAGCAATTCTTGTCTTTTATAGGATACCCATTTACAGGAATAACTCTTATTTTGCCAGAAAAAAATTGGCTTAGGAAGTATGTAATTTCTCTTCAGTTCTCTCTCTTCTATAACAAGCAGCTTGAAGGTTGAAAACAGACAGCCTATTAATCTTTTAAAAAGAAAAAGAAAACACTCTTTTTGCCAGCACTGCAACAAAGATGGGGAAAGATGTTTCTTTAGAAGCTGGCCTCTGTCAGAATTGCCTTAAAAGCAAACTCAGGATGCAGCATTTAAGATCAAACTAGAGAGGTGTAGTTCATTCCTACTGGAAGAGAGATATCAGATATTGAGCACTGAAAGATTACACAAACTGGTCATTGCTAAAGATGCTGAAGAGACGTCTCCTTCCTTTTCTCTCTCATGCAATCCCATCATTGGAAAACTTTGTTGTAATACTTATTTTTAAAAAACCTCTGCAGATTGGAAGTATACTTCTAATCAGCTCTAAGTATTTTTAAGATTTTTAGTTGATTAGCTTTAATCAGTTTGATGAGCGATGATTTATCACCAAGAGGCTAAAATTAATAAGAAGTTAAACAATGATTATATTTGGATCAAAGTGGAATGGTTTGAAGTGGTCTTGAGATCTTGAAATCAAGAAGATATGACTCAGGAGGCTTCAGATTGCTAATGTGTAATCAGGGTCTGGCCAAGAACTATTTCAAAAACTTAACTACTAGTTAAAAACACAGTGGGCTCATTTGTTTGTTTGCCATTCAGCTCAGGGCTAGTACTCTTGCCATCCATTTCTCCCCATGACTTTGTGAGGTGGGTTGAGAAAGAAAATTACCTTCTGAAGTCACCAAAGTTGCTTCTGTGAATTTATCTAAATGATTTTATCCAAAGTCCTCTCAGGCAGTTTGTTTGTTTGTTTGTTTGTTTTTGTTTGCTCCACCCCAAATACTTCTTTTGTTAAATTCCTTGCATGGTGAAGAAACAATATTAAATAATTTTAAGTAAACATTTCAGTGGAAAGCTTTTGATGAGCTACCAGTGGTAAGGTCCAGCCCCAGACTCTGAAACAGAAAGCTGCTTGAGATGATTTCTCTGATCTAACAAGATATAAATTGTTTATCTTCATAACTTTAAGAAAAAAAATGTTATTTTTATGTAAATGTCAAAATAATATATGTGACTATATGAAACTGATCAAGGAGAGATTCAGCCTAGAAATAAGGAGAAATTTTCTGACAGTGAGAACAATCAACCAATGGAACAGCTTGCCTTCAGAAGTTGTGGGAGTTTCATCACTGGAAGCTTTCAAGAAGAGATTGGACTGCCATTTGTCAGAAATGGTGTAGGATCTCCTGCTTGGGCGGGGGGTTGGACTAGATGACCTACAAGGTCCCTTCCAACTCTATTAATCTGAATTGTGCGCTGCAATTCAGAATTCAAAACCTAGGTATGTTTACACAGCCATTTTTGTCTTGTTTTGTTTTGTTTTTAAGCAAAAGTAAATCTTTCATGCCACCTGAACAAACTTTAGGAGTTATGCTTTTGAGATGAGTGGGACATCAGGATAAAAAAAAAAAAAGCAACTCCCCTTCAGAGTACAATGGAAACAAATCAGAATTTCAATAGCAAATCACATTAATGAATGTTGACAGTGTGATCAGAAGCAAGCTCCAGGGACACTATCTATTTGTCTACCTCTATATTGGATTTATAAGACAATTTAATCATCAAATGACTCCAGGCAGCATATAACAACATAACACGATAAGGAGAATCAAACCGCAAACAACCGGCCAGGGAATACCAAAAATTAAAACTGTAACAGCATAACTGGGTTCATAAAACCCCACAGTCTCTGTCTGGGGCCTGAAGGCAAAACCTGTTGAAGGCAGAGTGGAATTGCACTCTGTGCTTGTGTGGTGAATATCTGCCATTTCTCCAGATTGAAAGGATGGTTTTAAAAAGGATGTTCTTCCCTGCGTACATTCTACAAAATGTACGCAGTGGTGTTTGTGATACCATATACAAGATTTTCCCCCTCCCTTAAAATCTTTTCTGATTAAAGTTTCTGGCTTGCATAGCAGGATATATCAACACAAGACAAATGATCTGGCATGGCCTTATCTATAAGCAAAATATTGATTGTGATGACCTTGCTAAACAATGAAATATCCATCTCCTGGTTTTCATCACTCTTTTGGCCTCCTCCATAACCAATATTTCAGCCCGCAGTACTTTGCACTTTATTCCCTGATGAAATCCTCTCTCTGCTTACTTAAAGATTTTTTTCTTTGTTCGTATATTTTTGTAACACAAACTCGCTTAGCAAAACGTTCTGCTTTCGTCTGCCAGAACAGCCTCTTCTAATCATGCATCAATGGCTTGATTGTCATGCAGTTCCACTGGGAAATAATAGTCAGCTTCCAGAAAGCTTCCAGAAAAGTTGGGGAGATGTTCGAATCAAAGGAGGGAAATGGCAAGTAGGTAACGGGTTCTTCAGCTAACTATACCAGTATTGTATCTTTGGTGTTTGGTATTTGGTGCCTTGGCTTCTCATTCCAAGAATTCCTGAAAGTGGATTTGGAGTCATGGAGGATATGAAGAATTATGTTAACCATTTCTAAGGACTAAACATCTTAGGAATTTTGGAAGAGACAAAATTCTACTCTCCCAATTCACTTATGTTTTC